GGCTATAATGAAAAAAAAAACTTCAAAATATTTAGAATTGTTTACACTGAAAGACCAAAGCATTCAACTATATACAATTCCTATTTTATAAGTTCTCTTAGTTTACCTGGACGAGGAGGCATAGGTAGGGGGCCTCCAAGTGTTGGGGGTGGTGGTCTATTTACAAATCCTGGCCCCGGCATTCTTGGAGGACCATTAGAAGGGATCACCGGAGGTCCTAACAAATAACAGTGGTTACAAATTTCAAACAATCATGAATATTTGTTCATTCTTCAGATAAAAGTTTATGTATCTTTAACACTTTGTTACCTGGGACATAAGGTGGGGGAGGAATGCTGACATCTTCTACAATAACCGGATCCAGGCCATGATCGTAGGGGCAAAGGTCACCGCGCATACAAAATCCCTTCTCTGAATGGAAAACAAACATCAAAAATATACTAACCATGATAAAACATGAAACATACAGGAAAGTTTTGCATAGCAAATTCTCTAAGAATGCTGATTTCCATTCTTCTTCCAATTATTCACATCCATTAAACATGATACTGTATAAAGATATGCATACCATCATAATCTTTACATCTCTGTCTTGAGGGGGCGGGCACTGCTGGCAGGCCCTGGGGGTGAGACTCTGAGGGGTACCCCCCTTCTACCCTGGGGACGGAGTACACAGCGCTTCCTACGGTAGGAATGGAAGAGGTGGCGTCATACTTTCCATTATCAAGTGTAGGGGTAGAGCCTCGACTATCAGACTGTTGTTTGCTGTATACTGAAAACAAGAATATTAAGTTTTGACATATTTTCCTAATTCTTTTTTATCAAAATATTTGCTCATTTACATCTATCAAATCAAATTATCTACATACCAATACTACTAACTTTTTATGACAGTCACAAAAAAGTCACATAGAAGACAAAGATTTCTTCAGACTGGCAAACTTTCAACTACATGTATCTTTTATCAATATCTAGAGCTTTTTACCCGAGACAGGCAAAGGCATGTTATGAATTACCAAAATCTAAAACCATTACAACTGAAACAGTGTTTTCATAGATATGACTAAGAAAACTGACCAGTCAGCAAGGGCCCCGCCATGGGGTGGAATTTAAGAATGCAGCTTCGGAATGATAAAAAATATATGAAGAAATAAGTAACAGCAATATTCTTAAAATTTTCAACATAATTCCTGAATATCCAAAAACCTGTAAATAATATCCTTGTATATTTATATTAGGCAGTAAAGAACAACCTAACATTGAATGTACAATATATAAACAATAATGAAGTTTGTGTTAGTGTTATATAAAATGCCAGTCTTCAATGAGTGCAAATACATGTATCATGAAGGCTTGACCTTAACTTTAAAACAAACAGCAGTTGCAGACAAAGGTTTTCATTAATTTCAAAATGACAGATAAAGATAAGCCTTCTAAATTTTCTTCAGCAGGCTAGATAATTAATCCCAAGGGATTAATTGTACCTCTCTCATCATTTTCTTCTAAAGTCACAATAAGAAATTTGTCAGTATTAATATTAGAATAGAGTTTTTTATCCAACTACCTTAAAAATTAATATTATTCTTGAATTTACATAAAGGAAAAAAAGTAAAAATAAAAGATATGTCTTCTTTAATCTATTTCTTGTTTTTAGAATTCAATGAAATCATAACTCATTGTGTAGGATATTTTAACAGGAAATAAATTATAAACATTTATATCTAAATCCACATTTCAGAGTGTTCATAGCATTCCAAATTGACTGAACTTCAAAACAAACTTCATTTGCAGACAGAGGTGATAATTAATCCCAATGTGACAGATAAAGATAATGCTTTGGATTTTCTTCAGGAGGAAGCTTAATTAATCCCAAGGGACTCATAGCAGCATTCAGTTTACAATGGAAACATCTTCTGTAATCAGCAGTTATCTCTCTTTGCCAAAGCATTCTTATATAAAGTTAAGGAATATACCCCACCACCCCAGCTCCAAACCAGGGGACATAGAGAAACAAACTTAGCAACAAAATTTGTCTTTCTGCCTATTGAACTACCATACCAAATTTGATCATCATTGGGCAACCATAAAAAAAGTTATTAGGAAAAAACAGAAATTTTGTGGACGGAAGAATGACAGACGGACAGACAGAGTGATTACTATAGGGCACCCGCAAATTCTTGCGGGGCCCTAATAAGGGGCTCATTGCAACCTCACCTTGTACTTTAATAAAGTCACATAAGATATAAATGCAAATTAATGATAACAATTTTTTTTTTTAAATTGGAAAACAAATTACCTCTTCTTTCTCTTGACCGTGACCTTGACCTAGATTTACTCCATGACCTAGGTCCAGACCTGGATCTTGATCTTGACCTACTCCATGACCTTGAGCGTCCTCTTTCGCGGGGACTCCTGGACCTGCCCCGAGTCCTCCGTGGACTTCTGGGACTGTAGGACCGTGATCTTCTTCTGTAACTCCTCCTCTCATCAGACAGTCTTCTGTCATCGTGCCTCCTCTTCCTGTCATCACTGGAAATAAAACATCAGCAGGTGGTGAGGAAGTCAGTTCTCACAGTTCTATAACATGCTGCTGTGTAGGAGTGACAAATGATTCATATTGAAAACAAATACATGTACATGTACATTTGCAAACACAGGATAAAGTTTTTAATCAGAACAAGGCACTTCAATGTCTTGTTCTTATAAGCTAAAATTCAGTGGTAAAAGTCACGTTTGAATGACTTTTAAAATAAAAAGCATGCAATCAAGCATACAACTTTCAATGAGGATAAGAAAAACACTTATTACTACCTGCAAACTATGAAGAAGATAAACTAGCGTGGTGACACTTACATATCCCTGCGTCTTTCTCTGGGACTAGGGCTCCTTGAGCCATGTCTTCTGTCTTCTCTCTTCCCTTCTCTGCCCTTCTCACTCTGTAACATACAAGAGATGTTTGTAAAACACTTATGCCCCCTTCCCCCCAAACTGGAATTTTTTAAAGTCCAAAAGGGCATAACTCTGTCAAAAATAGTGCGATCATACCTAGCTGCCCTCTCCGATTTTTTTTATCTGATATTTTCTGGAGAGGGCTACAATTCCAAAGTATATCCGTTAATGGTGCAAAAATATTTTTTAAATACGGGTGACTGCAGGTCGAATAAATTGTGTTTACATTCAACTTACTTCTAATAAGATGAAATTTTTATTCACTGTCGACATCATAGCTCGTTAAACGCGAAAACCATGTAAAATAAATCTGTGTATTTACTTCTCGCTTTACTCAGCTGCCATGACAGTTCATGCCTGACGTACCGAGACTTGCGCTTGAAATTTAGAATAACTCAATTAAGCAAATGTTTATAAATAATTGTAATGAATAGTAACATTAAACATCGATAAATAAAATCATTCCATGTGTCATTTTATCGTAAACAGCAATATTTAGGCTTAAAATAAGGTAATTCCAAAGAAATCTGCTCCCTATAGATCCTTAATCTCATTGGCTGTGCCAGTAAACATGGCGGATAAATTTAAGTTGTGATGTTGATATACAACAAAAATACTGATACATGGATTGTTCTGTATATTTTTGGATCAATTTATGTCTGGGATAACTACATTTTGGAAGTCCAGGTAAGACATATAAATAAAATAGCCATTTACTAAAAATTTGAGCCGAAATCCATGCGGGAGCGAATCGCTCCCGCTTTTACCATTACGGAGTTCCTAAGGCCCTCTCCCCCCAAAAAAAAAAAAAAAGGGAGAGGGTTACATTATTGCAGCTAGATCATACCCAAAACAAAACTTGACCTAGATAGTCATCTGATATATCTGTATACTAAATTTCATTTCAGTATGTGCAACCTCTGCAAAGAAAATGAACAGGAAACTGCAAATAATTGGAATTTTTCTAAGTCCAAGTGGCATAACTCTGTTAAAAATGGTGCAATCATACCCAAAACAGAACTTGACCTAGATATTCATCTGATATATCTGTATACCAAATTTCATTTCAATATGTGCAACCTCTGCAAAGAAAAAGAATGGAAACTGCAAATAACTGAAATTTTTCTAAGTCCAAGGGGCATAACTCTGTCAAAAATGGCGCGATCATGCCCAAAACAAAACTTGGCCTAGATATATACACCTGATATATCTGTATACCAAATTTCATTTCAGTATGTGCAACGGTTGTGAAGAAAATGAACGGAAACTAAATGGTCCGACAGACAGACAGACAGCAGCAAAGCAATATGCCCTCCCTTCTTCGAAGGGGGACATAAAAAAAAACAGTTCAGACACATGTGATTTAACATAAAAACAACAACATCTAAAGGTGATTTATGAAAGAAAAATTTAACACAATGGGCAGAGGTCATTATTACATGGTTCCATGTGCATGTACCAGTATATGTTTCTTTTATCAAACCAAACAAAGAAAAAGTTGAAAGACATAGTACTATAGGAAACACTCTAAATGCAGAACTCATAATAATCCTTGTGGCTTACTTTAGCCTTCTTTGAGTCTGTTGAATCTTTCCTGCTGTCCCCTTTACTGGGGAGGGACACGTCTGACTTGCCGTCATCCACAGCTTGTGTCTTGGTCGAGGAATCTGGCGCATGTTTCATGTATTCTTTTGTTGTCAATGCTTCAAACAATGTATCCACAAAACCCTTGGTTTCTATAACAAAAGTTTAATAAACAACCATTGTAAAATAAGCTCATCTCAATTTTTACGAGGTGAGCTAAAAAAAAGCAATATATCATTTTGATATTAAATGCAAGCAGAATAGTAAAGTTCTTCTTCATTGAACTGTCTAAAATTTATCAATAGAACCAATTACATACAGGTATGCATCTACATAGCTTAATTTCATTTAAAGATCTTGATGATAAGATTCTTAGTCTAAAAAACATTAACCTTAATGGTCTACATCAGATGAGCCTAAATGATTATTGAGTTAAATTTAACAATACTCTAAATCATTGCTATTTGAACTTTAACTTTCATTAATCACACTTCACAACTTCAACACATCTGACATTTTCAGACTTACTTCCTTAATGATCAGACTTACTTCCTTAATGATCAGACTTACTTCCTTGAAGAAAGACATCCAGCTGGTCGATGCATACTTCCTTTAAGTCCCTGTCTACTTTGTCTTTTTTAACCAAGGCCAGAACATATTTAGCAAGAGAAGCAGGGTCTGCATCGCTTCTACAAAACAAGGATTCACAATTCATTAGTACATCAGTTTATAGGCAACATTATTTGAATCATACAGAAACTTCAGAATTAATTCTGCTCTTCCAGTCAAATCTAAACAGCAAAAGAATGGAAATAATTTATTTTCTTTAAAATAATCTATCATTTATTATTATTTCTAGAGTTCTGTATGAAAAGAAGACGAAATGCATCTATCCAATACTTTTTATTATTTATATATAGGGATGTGCGATTTTATCGGTATACCGGTATATCGCGATTTTTTGTTGCGTGATACGTATCGTGATATGGAGACCTAAATACCGGTCTTTAGGTACATATTATAAAGTCCAGAAATTATTCATTTATCTGTTCAATCTTTTAAATTACAATTACAGAAAGTATAAAAAATGTTGTAAAAAGTGAAAAGAACGGCATCTTACCGTCCAAACATAATTGATTTTATATACATAACAATTTCAAGAGAGTAAAATTTTGTTTTTCTAGCATATTTTTTAGAAAAATAATGACTTTTCATATAAAATCATTCTAAAAACTGCTTTTAAAAACATCATGATATTATCGTGATATTGCAGTGATTGGGATAAGGTAAGGAGTAAATGTGACAATGGCACACTCAAAGTCAGTGTCAATGTGACATTTCAAAATTCAATGTGCCAAACAGACTTTGTAATGGGACATTTTCTAGGTATAAACTTGCAATTGATTAGTTGCTGTTAGAATTTCAGTTGACTTTACTTACATGTAATTGAAATTGTCAAATTATTGAATAACGACATTAAAAGATACAAAATAACACTTTTTGTGCAAAAAGAATTAAGTACCGCGATAAAATGAGATACCAGTATATATTTAAATTCACAAGTGTCAGAAAATAAACACTGCAAATTAATTTCATTTTTTTATTTTTTGTCTCCGGTGTTTGACATCTTTAAAATGAATGAAAGCCTGGTTTAGATCTATACTGCTTCCCTCCAATTCATGTTAAATTTTCGTTTTGGTTTTCCTTCGGGCCGAGATTACATCAGTCTTACCGCAAGATTCATCTCCATTCGTTCTGTCAGCATGTTATACTTCTTCCGAGTCATTTCCTACCGTCTTTTTACATGAATTCTGTTTGCTAGGATTGTTAAAGAAATTAAGAAAAGTCTGCCCTTAATCGGTACGAAGTATTTTTCGTCTGTTTGAATCATACAGAAACTTCAGGCAGCATGCTGACACCAGTTAATTCATGCGCGTTAGCCAATCAGAAAACACGTAACTTTTTGATTAGATACTGGAGAAAAGAAAGTCATAAGAACGCTTTAACTGTACGACATTAAATGCTCTTTTTTCAAGCGTAAATTGACAGCGATTGTTGTGAGAAAGATTACAAGCACTTGGGGGAAAGCTCAAAGTTTAAAAGTATGTAGTGCATGATTATATATGCGCCACGATGGCGCAGCGATTGCAATTTTAATGCGACATTTTAAAATTTAATGCGACTATGGCGCAGGGCGCGTGCTTATCCCAATCACTGATATTGTGGGAAAAAATCGTGATATATCGCGATACGAAATTTTTGGCGATACCCATCCCTATTTACATATCATTTGACCATGTTGACGCAAACCATATCATCATGTTTGTACTTCCCTTCAAGCAATTTCTGAACTTGTTTCACAATGTCTTTCTAAGTTTTGAGTTGATTTAACATGTACATCTAAATCTCCTATACATCTTAATTCGATGATTATGTCAGTTTTCTCGTTTTGCTCAAATCATTGTCAAATGTTTGTGAAATCTACTGCATTTGCAAAAACTGAATACTAAAAAGAATTAACTTTCCATTTGGTATCCTTTGTATTGTTCATAGTTAATGAAATCACTCATGTTTATTTTGCAACATTGCCAATACATGTAAGGAATTCCATTGTTAAACCGGGTCCGTACTGGGCAAAGGGCACTATCATTTTAACAATACTGAACATGATTCTTTCTATCACACCTATGATGTTTTTATCCCCCTTTTAGTCCGGTTTTTATCCTAAAACGTTTAAACCCAGTGTTTTCCCTTTATTTCAAAGAAAAGGGTTAGAGATCAGTTGTAACAGGCTAGGGGCTGAGGTTTATGAACAAAATCTTTGTGGACCTTACTACAACGTTTTCTTTCAAAGCAGCATTTTTGTGAACCCCATTACAAAGGCAATCGCATTAGAGAATGCACATTGAACTCAGCCTAACAGAGATGATCATAGTATATCGCGATAAATTGAGGAATTTGTTTTAGTTTCAGCGGTTTTTTTCCCTGATATAACTGGTACCGATAAACGGCACCATTCCCAATGCCAGAAACATTCATTTTTCCCAATTTTGTGACTAAAATCTCCCAATTCAACTGTGAAGCAATAGACTACGACGACATCGTATTTCTTTTTAAATAAAACATTGTACAAGTTGACTTGTTTCACTTCCGTTTAACAGGTCCAGCACAATACCCTGATAAAGGTATATAGCTTGATAAAGCTATATAGCTTTATCAAGGTATTACAAATACCTTGATCAAGGTATTTTATGTAATGAAAATTCAAAAAAATTCTTTAAAAATTAAATACTGAAAATCGAGTTCTGAGATTTTGTCAGTGTGTCTACACGTACATGAAAAACACTCCGGTATCAAAAAGACAGCATAAAAAAACGTCTCCTCACACAACATGATTTTATACTGATTTCTTTGAGTTTGAGTACTTTAAATGCATGGGTAAATTTACTGACAACAACACAGAACTCAACTTTCAGTATTTAAATTTTTAAGATTTTTTTTGAATTTTCATTACATAAAATACCTTGATCAAGGTATCTGTAATACCTTGATAAAGCTATATAGCTTTATCAAGCTATGTACCTTTATCATGTTTATCAGGGTATTGTGCTGGACCTGCTTAAATTGAAAGTAGAAAAAGTAATAATTTGGCGGGACCTGTGGTGTAAACAGTGTAGTGTCGTACATTTTGACGAATTGAAAGCATGAAAATGTGAAAACATGGGACACTGATATAAAAACAATAAGTACTTGTTGCTTATTCTTTAAAACACGGAATAATAGGTAATTAAGTTGGAATAAACGCAAAATATGTTTCATTTGATTAAATAAGAGAAAATTGTTCTTTTGATCTTCAATCTTCGATGTTATTTTTCCCAATTGAACCGGTACCGTACCCTTTCCCAACGGGTGGAAAAAAATCGCCGAGTTTGGTATGAGGAAATTCGAGCAATATTCGTTTTACATCATTGAAAACTGTATTTGCAGTTTTATTTTCAAACTATTCGTGAATTTATAATGACATACAAAAATAAAATGGTAACATCTCCATCTACACTGCTTGTATATCACCACATATTGCGTATTCCACTTGCATCAATATCTGAGCCAGCCAGTAAACTTACATTGGAGATAGAGTCTTGGTCAGCCATATTTTCAGAGCTTCAACGTTTTCTATGAGCATTCTGTCAAAATACTTTGATGCACAATATGAATATTAGACAATTGTTCCCAAAAAGCGATCGCCTTCCAAAATATTTCTACCAAGTATCCTCCGATTATTATGCACTGACTGTCGGCAACTGGACTCGTGCCACTTTCGTTTGAAATAAATATGGCGTTCAAATTCTCGTGAAATGCCGCGAGACTTACTACTGTCGGGGTAGGCGACTAACTGACTATGCCTATACTCAAGAAAAATATTCAAATTTTTATTAATTTTAAAAGGCTCCGTCCAATAAACATGATATACAAAACACAAAAATAACTAGCTAACTGGGGTTGGTGGTGGATCAATAATCATGATAATTAAAGGCGGATCCAGCACCGCCCACGAGGACGAGGTGCACATACACACACCCCATACTAACCAGTGGCGGATTTAAGGGGGGGGGCACCCGGCGCGATCTACTTGGTAGACCTCATTTTTACCCTACAAAATCTCTAGAACCCAGGAGCTTCCGGGGGCTTCGCCCCCTGGGCCCCCACCAGACCCCTTGCCTACTATTGGCGCCCCCTCTAACTTTAATTCCTGTATCCGCGCCTGCTAACTTCCTTAACATGAATAATTTTATGTTTTTGATAAATTGACAATCCAGGAACTTATACAAATACAAATAAATACAAATATTTATTGGCACAAACACAATTACAATAACTGGCAAAGGCACATCATCATTATATAAACAATAATCTGGTATAGAATGTAAGGCTATAGATAAATTGTACATCATTTGTAAAATAATTATGTTATGCAGTCATTTCTAGATGTAATACATTTTTTAATAAATGAGTTTGTTATTTTCAGTACTTCTGGACAATGGCTATTAAAGCAAAGTTTAACTTTTTGAGTATTAGACATATTAATTTAATATTTTATCATGGAAAAAATTCATCAAATTCCTTTCAAAAGTTAACCTATGATTATTGTATTTATGGCAGATGAAGAGAAAATGAAATTCATTTTCAACCTCCCCTGTGTTACATACATTACAAATTCTTTTATCTGTGGGTTTAGAAAAATGTCTTCCTTTTTCTATGGCAAGGTTATGAGCACTAACCCTTACCAAAATACTCACCTTCTGGCAACATCTTCTGGCATTATTGCCGCAATATTGCAGCAACATTCTGGCAATACATTGCAGCAATATTGCGGCAATATCGTTTTTCGTATGTAAATTAGATTTGCGGCAATACTGCCAGAAAAGTGTTGCGGCAATATTGCGGCAATATTGTAGCAACATTCTGGCAATATATTGCAGCAATATTGCGGCAATATCGTTTTTCGTATGTAAATTAGATTTGCGGCAATATTGCCAGAAAGGTGTTGCGGCAATGTTGCTGCAAAGATTGCAGTACATGTATTATTTCAGGTTTTGCTGCAGCAATATTGGGGCAACACTGCAGTACTACCTATATAAATTGGTATTTAATAGAAAAAATTATCTATCAGTCTAACAATTAACAAATTGTGCTGAGGAACATAAAAATCAATAGCATAATAAGCTACAGAGTCAGTAAGAAATAGCTACTTAAGCTTATGTTATTCTTTGAAAAGATAGAAAAATTTTGTTGAAAAAAGATGTGTTTTTGAAACAACGGCAACAAAGTTTGAAAAACCATTATTAGCATATAGGTCACAGTCAAAGCCACAAGGTCATTGATCTTGGTGTCATTTGAAAAAACTTAATTAGTGGAATATTCATCGTAAATATGAAGTCTCTATCTCTTATAGTTCAAAATTTATGGTGGAGGTTTAAAAAGGCTATTTTTAGCATATAGATCACAGCAGAGTTCACAAGGTCATTGACCTTGGTTTCATTTGAAAGTGCATAATTAGTGGAGAATGCATACCAAATATAAGGTTGCCATCTTTCATGGTTTAAAAGTTACGAGGAAGGTTCAAAAAATATATTTTAAGCATATGGGTCACAGCCAATGTTCTTGCCAAAGACCTTGGTGTCCTCATTTAAAGACCTAAATTATTTGAGTATGCATACTAAATATAAAGTCTCTATTTCTCATGGCTTTTAAATTATGGCAAATATTCAATAAAAAAACTATTTTTAGCATATAGATCACAGCCAAGGTCACAAAGTCATTGACCTTGGTACTATTTGTAAGACATTAATTAGTTGAGTATACATACCAAATATGAAGTCTCTATCTCTCATTGGTTTAAAAGTTGTCACTTATGTCGAAGGTTAAAGTTTACAGACAGGACAAAAACAATATGCGCCCCCAATCTATCAATCTGGGAACATAAAAAAATGTGTATATAAAAAATATTAATATGTCCAGCAACTCTGCATCATTTTTCAAATAACCTAATTAATTAGCTGCCCATCACATATTCCCCAATCAGTATAATGTATAATATATAGCTTGTTTGTAATTTCCAACATATATATAGAATCATTATTTTCTTGCAGGTATTCAAATTTATGCAATAAATTAATTATATATGTTCATGCATTTAATTGATAACATGCATTCA